TAACGCACACCTTAATTATCAAGGCTTAAATATTAGCCCTACTCTAAGTGAGTGAAAGGATACCGACCAATATATTTTTCTTAACGGGACGAGCAGCTTCTTTGTAATGAGAAGCATTCTTCTAGGCTGTCCTGAAAAAAATGTGAGATATTGGTATTGTGACGGCATATATGCAGTTAGAAATCGTCTGAACTTAAATATTTTCAGTACACACTGCCTAGCACAGAGATACCGATGACCAGAAAATCACCCACTGCTTATTATCTCGACAGAAGGAGCTGAAAAATGGCACTGAAGCTTGCACAGGGTACTCTGCGGGATGTGGGTCAAGAAACGGAAACTTGAGGAGACGAGGATATTATATCTATCTTGATCGAAAGTGTCAATGCGTAATACGATGAAATAATCATAAAAAAGAACGTAAAATAATTAAAAATGTAGAATACGGTCAACCTACTAGGATTTCACCAATGTGCAGGACTCTAAACCGGACTTGGCAGAAGGCCACGTGCCCGAGAAGTACAGGTTACGCTATTTTCCGGAGGACTTCCGATAAGGAAGAATGATAAAAGTTCAACTGGCAGAGAAAGATTTGGTGATCTGTATAATTACGGACAAGAATGTAACAACGATATAGGCTTGAACGCGACAAGGACATACTGTTCCAGCTAAACACTATTCCACGATGACACAAGAAGCCATTGAAAACTACGGAACACGTTAGCTACTGGAATATTCCCCCGATAAAATACAGCGAAATGGCAATGTGTGAGGTAAGCACTGGACGAACATGAATTCTTCATGAGAAAGTGCGCGATAGGATCAAAGGGAAGGGATAGCATACCATTGAAATATGATTAGAATAAAACAATACATAATGTGAAACACATTCCGAGTCATCGAGTTGTAGACATCAATAGTGTCATTAAAAAAAGTCCACACGCTGTTGTCCAGGTGGTGCGATACGTTCTACGACGAAGTCAGGGACCATCGCAGCGTACAGCTCACAGAGCGTGTGCCTTCCCACTGAGTTTCGAAATGGAGGAATGTGTGACAGTACAGCAGCTACCGCCCCGGGAGTTGGAAAGGCAGAATATCTGCTGCTGAGAGACGGGAGGACATCGATGTCGGAGTGTGTGAGCAGAGGCTCCGCGAACAGGGAGTGCTTGCGTTTCTGCGTGACTAACTCGTGTAACCGTGGTTATCGGAAGGAATTACTGAGGGGTATCCGACGAGATTATCAGATAGACATGAGGAGCAGGAAAACGCGAGGGTCAATTGTACCGTGTGATCACCGATCAGAAAGGGCTTGAGATAAACAAAGAAAAGAAAGAAAGAGCATACGAACGGAATAAACGAATCAAATATAAATGTGTGACTTGTCTCTTCGAAGATAGTCCATGTCCGTAAGATGTCCAAAGCACCATTTCTGTCCACAGCCTTTGCCGATTCCAGGATGTCCCGGTAGGGCGTATCAAGACGTTTTGCGATGTTCCTGGTGGATCATGGAGGGAACAGAAATACGAGACTGACAGAAGAGGAAGAAAAGGAAGGATAGGGGTTAGGATGAGCAGATAAGAGGAAATGACACGGTAGGAGCGACATCTAGGTCGTTTGTATCATTTGGGATCAAGAACATAACAACTTTATTCCAAGTGCTCTGGGTTCCACGATGATCGCAAGAGCGATCGCACACTCCATAGCACTTTGGATGGTTGAATATTCCCTTGATGACAACAGCTGTGGCGCCGGAGGAATACGAAGATGAGAATGCGCATGATAAGATGAGAATAGCACACCATTAAATGAAGATAACTATGTTGTCAATCTGTAAGTGTATTTTTCAAGCCAACTAGGCATGCAGCTATCGTCAACAACACAACTTGTAGTGCAAGGCCGCTATACACACAGAGTGCTTGGTGGATGTGGGAGACAACTGAGATACGAGAAAAATAATGAGAATTGAAGAGAAAAGTGAGAGAATGAAGAATACTGTAGAAACATATTCATCGATTCGTAGACAGCTATCATGATGACGTCACTAGGAGAGTCTATGAGATGCTATTGTTCTGCGGTTTACGCTAAAGCTAGGGGGTCATTGCGGTCGGTGTATCGCAATCTGCAGCTACGGAGCGTCTTGGCCCTTAGGATATCGCTTTGGAAGAAGAGGGGTTGTGGTGTGAAGGCAGAGATGGCGAGGTGAATGATGAGGTGAGGTTGGTCCGTTTGTAGGAGGGATAAGACGTAGAGGTGGATGGTGCGCAACGCTAAGGGTATCCTTGTGATGATTATGAGCCGGATGAAGCGCGGCCTTATGTACCCGTCGAGGTAGAGCTCTTACCGTACGAAGTGCAGACGCTGAAGCTCGAATTCGAGGTGCAGAGGAGACGACACACCCTGAGAGGAAGACTAGCATCGGAATGGACATAGATAGGGATGTCGTGGCTGATGCTTGCACCATGTTGCATGGGTGGAATTGGAGTGGGATGGAAGCTGCAGTTTCGTTGGTGGTGCAGAGTCAGTGTCGTCCTTGCCGGTCCAGCGGTCTTCGTATGACGGCCAATTGAAGTCGTTGTCGTTGTCGTTCCATCAGAACGATCCGCCTTTGAACCGGTTGTACCTACCTTCCCAGTGATAAGCATGCGGAGACTCCGTATCGCACCCACACCTACACCCACATCAACTACCGTGAGCGCTATTGCATCTCCATTGACCCTCTGCATCTCAACCGTCATATGGTTCGTCATGTCCTCCTACTTCGCTAGAACCATCCCTTCTGCCGACATCGACGCCGACGTTTGATATAATCCGAGTCGACGCCACTAACTTCTACCTGTTGGAGGTGATGAAGGTACCTGAGAAGGAATTAGCATTACCTTTGGATAGAAAGGACGATAAGAGGTGATAAAGATGGTGTGGTTGTGTGTGAACGATGGGAGAGATAAGCACAAGCAGAAAGGAGGAGTGGATTGAACAGGAGGATGATGAAGATCGGACGGCGACCATGCTCACCACTATCAGTGAACCCTACCTCTCCTTTGAGATAACGCTATGAGATAGATACGGCTTTTCGTCCCAGGACCCTTTCATTGCGCGATGAACCATAGAGATCTATGCATAACGAAGTCGATACGTTAGCGTTCATATCGAAGATCGAAAGAAACTAGTGGGCGGAGTGGAAGAACGGAAATGGAAGGCATACGGGGTATACTGCGTATAGACCGCTCCATATCATGCTGCTGCTTCATCACCGTGATTTACTACTTCATTCCGCGTCCCAATACTCCTATCATATCCAAATATTTCCTCACATCGAACCAACCGTCAACGTCAGTCTTCACATCTTCGATGCTCGTCCCTCATTCGCGACGCCGTCGAGGTCGGTGATGTCCAACAAGAGAAGACGAAGAAGCTATTGCTACGTTGGTTGGGTTCGGAGGTGGGATGGCGCAGTGGTGCGTTTCTGGACGAATGGGAAGCGAGTTAGCATAGAGGATGGAATGGGATGGAAGGAAGGAAATGTGAAGAACCTACGAACGTTCACCGAGTCATAGCGATCTCATCGGCAGCCTCCATGCCGTCTTCTCTGCACCATAACACGAAGCAGAGGCGGTGGGATGGGTTTGATATGCAGCTTTCGACAACAGTGGGAGCCATTACGTGTGATCGGGATGAGGGGAGAGAGAGGGTGGATGATCCGTGGTCTTGTGGATCACAAGACCAAGCCTCCCGAAGTTGTCGACAGAGTCCGTAAGTATTCTGCATCGCGGGTTCTTCCGGCTCGATCTCAGTAATCCCGAGCTTGCTATGGATGAGGTCACAGCGTTGTGTTGCTCCCGCCTTCAGAAGAAAAGATGAGCAAAGCGCCAGGCACGAGTCCCACGACCGGCTAATCACTGATTCCGCATGCACAAGCTCTTTTACAATCCATTTATCTCTTATGGACCTGAATACTACAGCTATAAATTTACTCCTTTTCTTAAGATAAAAATCGGAGATTTTTTTTCTTTTTTTCTTTGATTCGGCTCTCGAGTCTTACCATTCTCACACGTCACCAGGAAGAACCTCTCTTTATCATCCGATTCTGGCACTGGAAATATTAGTACCTGTTATTACGCCGCTTCAATTCATCCGTGTCATTAAAGTCATTCTAAACAGGGATTTTCTTCGTTCCACCTGCAGAGGCTACGGAAGTCGAATGTACCTCGACGAGTCTTCGCTTCTGAGATCGATATCAGGCGGATATCGCTGTGATAACGTACCTATCGAAGAATACACTACGAGTTTTTGTGTACTAGTAACCGTAATATCCTCGAAATTTCAATGTGATGTGACCCTGATGTCCTTTGAATATCCAGCGAAGATCTTCTCTTATAGCCCAGAACATCAAATACCCTGTTTCTATCAAGGCTGGCATGATACCAATAACAGCATCCAGATGCCCTAGATTCATCTATCCATACTCGACATCTCCATCACATCTACGCTATTGCTCTTTTAAGTGCAATACACGTGGCAAACCCGCCGCTTTTCCGTCTACCTCATCCTCACGTCGATCCCCTGTCCTCATGACCTTCTTCTAAACCCGGGCCTCTGGATCTCAATATTCATCGAAGACTTCCTACAGATACATGTCGTGCGTCCTAGATCTGTTATCCCAGTTCCGCAAGGCTTTACAAACGGCATTTGGAGATAATGATTTGTACTACAAACCTCGTTTGGGACGAACGCGTTGGTTCGTCTTGGAACGCGCATTGTCGACTCGTCGAGCTTATATGATGAAACGAGAAGGACAGAGAGAACGTAATTGTGATAGGCGTTTGCAATCGTTTTGATTCTTAGATCCTCAAAAGTCCTCCTCGCATCCCTTTCGATTCTGATTCATGGAAACCGACAAAGGACAACTATTCTCGCCAGTAACGCTCCGCCTACCCTATCTAGATCGCACACTATATCATGCTCGACCCACGAAGGAACAAAAAGGCGTCAACGTACGTCAATCTTAGGTAGTATAGTGGTTGGTATTCGCGCCTGTCAGGGTTCTATTCGAGGTCGCGGTCGACCGGGGTTCAATTTCCCGCCCGAGAGACCCTTTTCTATGGTTTTAATTGATAATTCGTTCTACAGAAGTCGGGAAAGAAAGGTACACAAGTAACTTACTACTGAGTTTTACTCAGATCTTTGTCTTCAGGCCGTGAGGGTAAACTCAGTGCTTTAAATTCGAACCCGGTGGAGGGACTACTAACTAGGCTCTTCTACTACCTAGCCATTCCATCCATCTTATTATTTAATTTGCTCATTGGAGTACAATAATATAATTTTCCAAACATCTCTATATCCATAAAGTCTACTTAATTCCTTCCCAATCTACCCCGGCTAACCAAGCACTTCTTAGGAGCTTCAGACGTATTATTGGCTGTCACATTCAGCGCCTGCACATCAATCCCGGTGCAATTCTGAGAGATTGTTTGTATAATAAAGTTCTTCCTGAGAACAGTCACGATGTCGAAGCTGCAAAGAAATTTGAATAAGCGATATAATGATGTGGTAATATCCAGCCTACTGGGGTGAAACATCGTCCACTTCCTCGTCGTCTTTGTTGGCTACGTTTAGAGGTTCAGCCCTCCTACCGCGTGTGTTGGTGTCGGTGTCATTATCGTCATCGCTATCGCTGTCATCGTCATTATCATTGTCATTGTCGTTGTCCTTGTCGCTGTCGTTATTATCGTCCTTGTCGCTGTCGTCACCCTTGTCGCTGTCGTCGCCCTTGTCGCTGTCGTCGCCCTTGTCGCTGTCGTCGCCCTTGTCGCTGTCGTCGCCCTTGTCGCTGTCGTCGTCCTTGTCGTCGTCCTCGTCGTCGTCCTCGTCGTCGTCATCGTCCTTGTCGTCCTTGTCGTCGTCGTCGTCATCATCGTTGTCGCTGTCATCGTCGTTGTCGTTGTCGCTGTCATTGTCGCTGCCGCTGCCGCTGTCGTTGTCGCTGTCGTTGTCGCTGCCGCTGCCGCTGCCACTGTCGCTGTCGTTGTCGCTGTCGTTGTCGTTGTCGTTGTTGTCGTTACTATCGGTGTCGTCATTATCGGTGTCGTTGTCGTTGTCTCTAGCATTGTTGACGTTGTCTCTAGCAATGTTGACGTTGTCGTTGTCATCGCCGCCGTCCTGCGAGTTATCTAGCGTCTTGGCGTCCATTTTCTCCAAAAGATCGTGCACATCATTGAAGTCCTGTAAGTGTTGATCAATATCTCTACGAGGGCAGAATATTAGGAGAGATACATACCCAAACTATAACGATCGCCTTTGTACTGGTATTTGCAAATTCGGCCATTAATTTCGGCACACAGTCATCGTCTGTGTTTTCATCCGCGCCGCTAAAATAAAATAAAAAGTAAAGGTTTAATGTCGGTATTTCGGAGGTAATGAGACGAAGGATAATTATTCATACCATGAAAAGTCAATGGGCAAATTCAATGACTCTGCAAGTGGTGTCACTGTCGCAAGCGTCGACTTGCAAGTCCCACTATCCGGATCATGGGGGCATGAGATAATTTTTCCAATATCTAAGTCTTGGAAGATCTATAAAATTTAACCAAATGTGCATTAGTATTTGTAATAAGTAATGTGAACGAAAAGAAAAATCGACACTCACAGGAGGGATGCAGTTCTGCGCACGCTGCAGTCCAATGGGCGTCAGCCCAGGGCGCCTGAACGATGGGCTTTCCGCATTTGAGATTATGTAGATAGTGTTGTTGAATGACACCGAGTTAGCGTGAGCTACGGTGAAGAGGCATAGAGCGATTGAGATGAAGAACATTGTTCGCTGAAATAATGCTTTGCGAGTTGGATCCACTGATGCTGGAAGGAAACCTATTTATATAAATCTTTCACTCTATCATCTTTTTGCTTCCAGTCGGGAGAGCGTTCGGAATTCCGTTGCGGAAAAAGTGACACTGAATATTAATATACCATCAATCAATTATACCATACGACCTCGCCATTGGAGCTCCGTGCTTGTTTCCTTTTGAGGTTCCGTGTTCCGCCCAGCGCCGCCGCGTACGAGTTTGATTCAGTACGGTACGACTTGAATTGGGTAGGTAGCCTGTACATGTCATATATCAGTCTTCAAGTCATATATCAGTCTTCTTCAGCTTCCAAGTACTTCGGAGGAGATCTTCCGCGGAATTATGGATCCGCCATATTCGAAGAATTCGTTCACTGGCTCAATGGGCACCAGATTTAAAAGAATTAAACATAGACAGGAAGAATCAAATATGAATATCTGTTCAAATCAGAGAGTATTAGCAGTCATATAAATGGATTTTAATCGCACCAGATGTCAGTTACATAAGAGCAGTTAACCGCGTCGCAATTATTACTGCTCGGGAATCGGCTTTGCTTACTTGCCTGCTCGTTAGTTATGAAATAAACTCGAACGCTTCTCCTTCTCTATGTGGTTCACACGTTGTTATGTGGGTATATGGGATAAGAAAAAGGAAATATGAAGGGGTGTATAAGTACATGGAGACAGCGGATGCTGCCAGTAGAGAACGTGTCAGACGCATCACGTCAGCCCAGCGCTAACGGCAGCGCCTTTGCTCAAGCTCGAACCTCAGCTCTGCAGCCTATAGCCTACCTTCGCTCTCTCTCAACGCATCTATTCCCTTTGAGATGTACAGAAATCTTTTGATGGAAATTATAAGCTCGACAACATATTTGAAGGCGCGGTGAATTCGACATTAAGTACTTGCCCATCACCTCGACTGTTCTCTCGACAACCTGGGGCCGTCATGTTAATTGAGATTCAGTCAATACCACGCAGCGATGTGTCTCCGATGCATATATATAGATGAAGGTTCTGAGGAGCAAGTATATGGGGTCCTTAGGGCTTATGTATGTGAGTATTCCTCTGCTTCCACCTTTTGCTCTCGTTTGATACTGTTGATCTCGCAGAGATCCATTCTCGGATCCATTCTCATTCGTACGACAACTGTTTGTCATTCGATGTCAGCTCTCAGGCACTCACGGAGGATGTTAAGAAGATATTGGACTCTCTTACAGTTCCGCGAAGCCGTTATTAGTGTTAACCGGGCCCTTCCTCACCGATCCCTTAAGTTATCAATGACTTACTAATTGGTGCAGATCTATCTTTATACATGTTCACGAGCGAAATTATGGGGTAGGAGGACTATAGCGGATGCACAGCTGAACTTTGGTATAGGCTGGCGCGATGATGGTGCGTTTGGACATTTCGACTACCTATTTCGCTAACTGTACATTTATAGGTGAACCCTGTATGTTATGCAAATTGTCACCGTATGGCCTTTAAAACCTCCATTATCCCATTTTAGTTCTACGCCAAACTAACCATCCTGCCATACTGTGCCACGTTCTGCTTCGACAACTTGTCATATCTTCAACTTGTCACATCCTGACCGCAATGAAGATAACAAAACCGTTTGGAATTCGAATTATGTGTAGTGTATAAGTATTATTATGTACGATTCTTACCGAGCAGAATCCAACCCAACCCAACCCAACTCAACCTACGGGAACTCCCCATACTTGCCAGGACATATACCTTCTTGCTTATGTTGGACTAGGCATTCAACTATACCGTGAAGAATATTTCTAGTTGAGCTAATGTTGTGGTGCAGTCTGTGATGCTACTTCGTTAATTCGCCGCCTCTATCTAGCATCATATATGTAGGGAGCCCGCCGCATCTCAACTTCTCAAGATACGTCCAGATACTTGAGTTTGAATATGACCGGGAATTACAGCAAGACGAATCGCAGCAGCAATCCCACAATCCTATTTTGGGAAGGGCACGTAGGATAGAGGTTGAACGGTGGTCAGACGAGCTTTAATGAAATCCCATGTTTGCGTAGAAATACCATTTATTATCTGTCAATCGCTCTTCTTAAGTATGTAATTTTGTTTTTATTTCTTTTGCAAATAAAGACGGCCAGGGGTGAGACTTTGAGTTGACTCGTGTGGGCGCGACTTGCAAACTCCGCTGCTTCCCACAACGACGGCCGTGGTGTCGAGTTCGAGTTCGTCCTCGACATTATAGCGTATTTGCAAAGTCTACGAATGTTCTAAGAACTCTAGGACATATCTATATTTCTGATACGGGCCAATTTGGAGGAATTACCGCGAGGTTTTTACGCTGGTGGTTGAAGGGAAGAGCGACTTCGAGGTGCGTACGCAAAGTTTCTTCTTGAGTTTATTTAACATACCTTATCTTTTACATAGTTATCCTAAACGATCTAATAATCATTTCCCGTAACTCAGCTCGCGATGGTTCACTCGGCGCTGAAACGCAAACGAAGTGTTCCCGAGCAAAGTAGCTTTTCCTTGGGCCTTACGATAAATCCCAAGGCATCGTATATTGCTCCTAATGCAGTATTCATTACCACTCTTCCTTCTCCTAAGGAGGCAGAAGCTTCAACTCGGACGACTATCTCATCTTCGCCTCCCTCGCCTCCCATTGAGCACCCATCTTATCTCTCCCACCTCCCGCCACCTCCTACTCACGATCCCTTTCCCGCTGTTCGCTCTATGTTCGACCTTATGTCACCATTGGAATTCGCAAATCTTCTTCGCAAACGTGTCAAACGACTGCTTTCGGAGTGGCCACCAACTATCCCATCGCCATCGGCAGATGGCCTGCTATCACCGACTCTATCGTCGTCCTCAAATCAAATTCGATCCGAGTCACGATCAATTTCCATAGCGGCACTTCATGCCTTCGTTTCGTTCTGGAGGACCGAAGAGTTTCGAACAGCCAGCACAGGCGTATCGATAGAAGAGCTGCATACACATCTTGTCGCATTGCAGACCCTCCTGTCCTTTATCTCATGTCAAGAACTACGGAAGCTCATACACTCACGTCTGCAAGTAAACTCTGAAACCAATAGAGAACGATGGGCCGCCGTGCAGGGTATGTTGGAGGTTATGAAGTACACATGTGCAGAGGACGAACCAGAGGAAGTTCTGAGTAGTCTTACTCAGATCGAGGAGATGAAGAAGACGAACTTTACTGTTACACGTGTCGAAGTAGGCGTTAATGCCGTGGATGAAGTGGAAAATGGAC